TCTGGGTCTTCTTCTGGTTCTGGGTCTTCTTCTACAGCTTCCCCAACCAATGGTCTGGGTCTTTGTCTGGGTCTGGGTCTGGGTCAGGGTCTTCTTCTTCGTCTTCCCCAACCAATGGTCTGGATCTTCTTCTGGGTCTTCTTCTGGGTGAAATAAACCATTTCTGCAGTATTTTGAGTTTAAAGTTGAGAAACATGATCTGGGGATATAAACAGGATGTGGGAAAGCTATAGACACTGAAACCGCCTGTTTAGAACACAGATAAAACCAGGTGTTATGCAGTCATTGTAAAATGAACATCTTTGCAATATTTTAAGCTCAAAAATTAAAGAGACACATTCTGGGAACATGTAAAAGTTGCTGAAAAGGGGCACAGTATGGGGCCTTCAAGACGTGTATGCTACCGAGTTTCACGAGTTTAAGAAACACTTCCAGCACAATAAAATTAGCAAAGGTAGGGGAAAAGGAGGCAGAAGCTTGCAGTGGGGAGGCAGCTAATTATTCAGTGATGTTCCAGGAGCACCACACCTTAACCCCCACTGGAGAGCTCAGGGCAATTTGCAACCACTGTGAACAGGTGTAAGATATTGTGCCCCACTGTGTGCCTAACCTCCAACCCCGGACACTGACCAGGTGGCAACCAGCTCCACCAGAGGAGGGTTATCATAGTAAGTGCTCAAACACAAACGTAAGAAAAATCCCCCCCCATAAAAGTTGTCTCAATCATAATACAAAAACAGACATTAAACGAGGATTTGAGGGGGATCAACAGCATCCACATTAGACAAAGGCAGATAAACCTTTGCTGTCACAAACTTCAGCCAAACGGACACTAACATGACGAGGCACACAGGAGACTGTCAAACAAATGCACCTTAATCACTGTGTCCATACGAACAAACTAAATCTTTAAAAGGGCAAACAATCCTGACCTCATCACCTACCTCAGAGTCCCAGAGGAACCCACGTGGCCACCAGCAAGCACAGACAAACAGCAGCCATGATGCCACTGGTGCATGAAAAACCCTCATTCAAGGGCTGGGTCATGGGAGGAGTCGACCCAAGTCTATGGTGATGTGTTCAAAAGCTACCTGGAAATACTGGATTCACCTGAGCACAAGTGTTTCTACTACATGAAGATGAAGAGTCAGATTTCATAGCTTCTCTGGTAAAGCAGGAGAACAAGAGGGCTGATGGTGACGATTTATTTATTTATTCACTTATTTATTTATTTAAGGAGCTTCTAAAGTCTGGAACTCAGGCACAATTTGCAGATTTCCTGACATGTTTCCATATTGAATGTGGTCATAACTTGTTTATCTCATTATGTAAACTCTGTCCTAATTGTGCCCTTTGTTGGCTCCGCCTCCATCAAGTCAAACACAATAATCCACAAAGTCGAACTTTGTTTTCAGAGTAAAAGTATGTATAAAAACTGTAACGTCACGTCACAGCAATGGAATGTGGTACTGCATATGTGCAACACAAAGACTCCAGACAGAGAGAGAGAGAGAGAGAGAGAACAAAGTTGACTGTAAAGTAGACTAGACACTCACAAAGGGTCCTGTTGAAGTTCACAAGGCTTTTTGTGTTCAAATCAGAGGTGATATAAAAAGGTATCAGTCAGCTTAATGCACTCTGGAAACTCTGGAGATATAATATATTTACTAAATAATTATTATGTATTTACATATTTTCCTACCTTTGTTGTCCTAGTGGGTGGTTTAGTTTGTGAAAGTATGAGGAAAAACAACAACAACAACAACAACAACAACAACAACAACAAAACCTTACATTTGAGGGCAAAACAGGAAGGCAGGAAGGTTCTGAGCCAGAGGGAACCAGATCAGATGTTTGGTCTATGGCTGTGTGACCCTCACACCTCTGATGGCACATTTAAAGTAATTCTGGCTTCAGTAAAAACAAACTAGGTTTGTCTTTTAGATTTATATATATAAAAGATATTTCACCTCCCATGTTGGATGAGTGATGAAAATCTTCTGTGAAACATTTTCTTTGTTTCAGAACTAAAGAAGCTTCTTGAATGCGAGGTAGTTTTATTTTTATTTATTTTTATTTTATTTTTTAGAGAGAAGTTCAGTTGCTTTTTTTTTTTTTTTACTAAAACTCTATGAACTGGATGTATCTACACAGAACCATGTAGTAATCGTCTATTATTTAAATATATATATATATCTTTCAAATGATATTGAATGGAAACTTGACTCACATTGTAAATTGCAATTACGATAGCTGTCAGAAAAACCACAACTGGATATTTTCCCAAAATCAGCCCCCCAATTGGCTTCAGGTTATTTAAAAATAAATCAATATTTTTTTTTTTTTTTTTTCAATGTACATGTATTTTTTTTTTTTTTTTTTACCAGACCTGCATATAAACTGCATATTAATGAATGAATGAATGAATGAATGAATAAATGAATGACTCCTTAGTATCCTGAAGGAATAATATGAAATAGTGTGGAGAGGACACTACTTATTTAAACCACATGTGCCTTTAAAGACATGTTGTATAAACCAACTATGATTTTAACAACCACCATGATGGTTGATCATAGACGGTCCAGAATGAAGGACTTTATTTTGAAAGTTTTTTTTGGAAGTCTTCAAGTTGAATTACATCACACTTGACCGTCAGTGAGCAGCATGTGCCAGAAAAACAATCGCCTCTCAACCACGTGACTATGGCGGAGGGTTTCCCAGGGGAAAGAGTGTGCACTCCAGGAAAGGTAGGAAATACACTAACAAAATCCAACCAGATGAATAAGAAAAGCAAAAATAATACCTGCCAGGTGAATTTCAAAAAGAAATGCAGCTGGAGGTTGCATCAGATGACAAAAAAAGAAATCATCTGTTAAGTTAGTCATTGATTGAAGTGAAGCTTTCATGTAATTGCAGCTTTTAATTCAAAGTTACTGCAGCCATAAAATGTTCCATTATGCATTGCACTTCTGTAAAGTAACAGGTTGACTGTTTTGAATTGGCTTGGTAGTAGCCATAGACAAGAATAACAGTAATAATGTTGATTATATAGGATAAACATATGTTGACAGATTATTTGCAGAAAACCCCCCAAAACAAAACACAACACTCCTTTAAAAGTAATTAAAACTGGTTTGGAAAACGTATGTCAGCAGAGACAGTGTAGTGATCTGTTAATAAATGTCAGTTTCAAAGTTCAGTCTGATTACACCAGCTTTATTGCCAGTTTAACACTGTCCTAAAGTCAAACATACAGCAAAGACCACATAATAACAATCACCCATTGTAAATGACCAGTTGTAGTCTGTCCTGGAGCATGTTTTCACCAACGGGGAGCTGCAGGTTCATAAAGCAGCTTTCCCTTTTGGCCTTTTTGTTAATTAAATTTACAATTTAGAATAGAAATAATTCCCATTTATAGTTTTTTGTATCATTTTTTTCTTTGCTTTAGTTGAATTTTACTGTTATGTGTTGCTCTGATTTAGAGATACGCCGTATTAACACAGCAAACAACATGCTCAGAATATTAAATATTTGCCTTAAGAAAAGAAAAAAAGGTTGCTGCTGCTCCTTATAATAATTGTCCATATTTTGTCTCTTTTCCTGCAAGGACCTAAAGATGTCAGCAGTGCTGGTTGTACACGGTGGGGCGTGGGCCATACCGGATGAACTGGCCAAGGCCTCTGTTGATGGAGTTAAAACTGCAGCATGTGAAGGGTTTGCAGTGCTGAAAAGAGGAGGAAGTGCCCTGGATGCTGTTGAAGCAGCTGTGAGGACTTTGGAGGATAACGCTGTGTTTAATTCAGGTAAAAGAAACACTTTCACCCATTAACAGCCACATTACAGGTCCCATATGGTGAAAACGTTTTGTGGTTGTCATGAATTTAGAAGTGCATAGTAAAACCTGATGAAGATGTTTACTTCTGCCGTTCCTCAAGCCTCCCCACAGCTAGTTAGACTTCCAGCTTTACAGGCAAGTGAAAATTGCAGTGATGTATCAACTAAGTATCCAAGTAGCTCAAACTTTTGCATCCTCCTTGCCATTCAGTGAGGCGAGCCATTCAGAATGATGCTGCTTCACAGTCCATCAGGTTTATTTACTTTACTTTGCTTCCGTTAACTCTACAATGTCTCAGCCTCGAGCAAAACACACCAAATGTTTTGTTATTGACTGCAAGAGTGAACATAAGAGCCTTCATGTACATCCAGCATCTGAGGGATTGAAGACTTTGTGGATAACTTTGATTTTCAGTGGTATTGTCACCACAACAACAGGAAAATGCTGTAAGCATGTTGTGTGGCTTATGTGGTTATTGTTGACTTATTAGCTTTGATCGTATTAGGTCTGAGCTCTGTTTTTAAATTGTAAAGCTGAGGGAAATCCAGATATGGTGGATGGTGGAAGAACATTTTGAGAACAATAAACCAGGACGTCGCCGGCTCCAGTCCGGCCCGAGACAGGCCCCCAGAGGGGCTCCGCCATCGCCGGCCCGAGTCCGGCCGCCAGAGGGGCTCCGCCGTCGCCGGCCCGAGTCCGACCCACAGAGGGGTTCCGCCGTCGCCGGCTCCGGTCCGGCCCCAACAGGGGTTGCGCCGTCGCCGGCACGAGTCCGGCCCCCAGAGGGGCTCCGCCGTCGCCGGCTCCAGTCCGGACCGAGTCCGGCCGCCAGAGGGGCTCCGCCGTCTCCGGCTCCAGTCCAGCCACGAGAGTGTGTCCGCCGTCGCCGGCTCCAGTCCGGCCCGAGTCCGGCCCACAGAGTGGTTCAGTCGTCGCCGGCTCCAGTCCGGCCACCATAGGGGCTCTGCCGTCGCCGGCTCCATTCCGGTCCGAGTCCGGGCCCCAGAGGGGCTCCGCCGTCGCCATCTCCAGTCCGGCCCCCAAAGGCGCTCAGCCGCCGCTGGCCCCAAGAGGGGCTCCGCCGTCGACGGCCCGAGTCCGGCCCCCAGAGGGGCTCCGCCGTGGCCGGCTCCAGTCCGGACCCCAGAGGGGCTCCGCCGTGGCCGGCTCCAGTCCGGACCCCAGAGGG